TCCAGTGAGCTGTAAGGAGCTTCCTCTAATTGAATTGTCTACATAGGATGCTGAGCAGGGCTCAAGTCATGATGGTTAATTTGGGTTTAGGTAGAGCTGGTGATAACCGACCTCGAGCAAGGGACGAGCAGCCATGCTGCCCGAGGTGGTTTCTGGCCGTTCTACTCATGCCCGGTCTTTTATCTGATACGCAGTGCTCTATCACTGGTCGTTACTAGGGAGCGTTTTTATGGTATAACACAGTTGTAATCAGATTATTATCTGTATTCAGTTATGACAAATATGAATATTAGTTCTGGTATATTGATTGATATTTGTCTGTCAAGCGAAAGTGGTACCTATATGTCCCTACTATTGATCCATGTCTTATGCTTTAAGCTGTTGTTAGTTGTCATATGCCAATAGTTTCTGACCCTTCTGAATCCTTGACCTTCAGAGACTTGCAATACTTCACATGTAAAATTCTGTGCATACACATGATGTTTAGTTTCAAAACTTTTTTTTTAATATGAAACTTTGGCAAACCATTTATCTTCAGCTGTGGTGACTTCATGGATGTTGAAGTGTCAGATGTTTGCATGTTATTCCTATAATATTGTTTTTCTGACCTACCGATCTTACTGGTTGGTTTCACATCAGGGATATACGGTGAGGAACTATGTAGTTTTCTGTTTAGGTAGTTTAATGCAATGTATTGCAGCATAAGCTCATTGCTTGTCTTGGTCGTTTCAATATATAACAAACGAGTGATGCTAATTGTACTAGTTTTTGGTACTAATCTTATACTAAAGTGAATGAAAAAAAATGTTGAGACATCAATTTTGTATTAGAACTCATTATAAAATGGATCCACCTTATCATTCTCATAGTTGTATCAAAGGAGTACACAAAATATTGTACAATTACTGCTACCTCAAATAAAGCAAGGGGGGTAATTCATCCTTAAATAAAGAAGTATGTAATCTTTAGAGCCATTTTCAGTTTCCTTCTGAATTATTATTTTATTCTTTTTGTTCTCTGTTGCAGAACAATATTGTTTAGCCACTCACAGACGGTTGTGCTGTGTGGCAATTGCCAGAATGTGCTGTGCTAGCACAACAGGAGATCGTGCAAGGCTCACCAAGGAATGCTCCTTTTGAAAGAATAAAGATTGAAGCTGGGAGAGAGTGGTGTTTTTTCCCCCTCAACTAAAATAATCAAGTGTTTTTGCCTGTATATATAATAGAGTTATATCCTAGTTTAATCCGTGATCATCCATATGAGTTATATCATAGTTTAATTCGTGGTCATCCATACGTGTTAAATCGTATTTCTTGGTTTTGAAGAGAAATACGTTATGAGACTACATCGAAAGTCTGGATGAAGCTTCCCATGTCAATGAGATTTTGCAGAGAAAATATTGAACTTCTAACATGTGAATGAGAGAATGTGTTGTATCATGATTAAATTTGTTTTTCAAGGGCGATTATTATAATATACGTGTTTTGCTATAAAGTGTGTTATACATCTGGTGATATAAGGATGGATTTGATTCAAGTCTAAGAATACCATATTTTAACCTTTCGATGTCTTGCTGGGTGGAATTGTATTTGTTGGTTTGATATTATTAGTTTCTGATAGGATGCTAATTTTATGATTTCGTGTATGTTTTGCAATCTTAGTTCATGTCATATAATACGAGATTATGAAGAATTCAGGCTGCAATGTTGTTTCTATTCCATGATGATTATATAATTCCTTTTATTAGATGAATTCATTTATTCCCCAATTCTTATTTGATCAATGAATGCAAGAGCTTTCTTTTATTAAGATGGCGGCATTAGGGCCAGAATTTTAATATTGGCTTTTGATCTTATTTTAATATTCATCTTTTATTAAGATTGGCTTTGGATTGGGTGGACTCATGAGATGTACTTAAGGAGGGATAACATCTTGTACCTTGCATGCTAAGGCCTCTCATTCTTGGATGTGGCAATTATTGAAAATTATAGATGTGATTTGGAAGTGGATCTATTGATGCATTAAAGATGAAGATTTTGGGTTGGTCCTCTCGTTGGAAGTTTTGTTGCTGTTGTCCCATGGTATCATGCGGTATGAAATTATTTCTGATTGCTTAAGGGCCAGTTTGTTTCACCAATTTTATGAAATAGGAATGGTATTTAGACCTGACAGTGGCATTTTTGTAATTAATGGATTCTAAATGAATCCTAATCCTGAGTTTGGTTCAAAATTTTTTTATGGAAAAGGTAATCTATAAAGTGGCTCAAACAGTGTATATTTCAGGATTTCTAATTCCAGTCCATTTGAGAGGAATTGGACCAAATTTCTGACACCTCTCCTCTTTCTTATTCCGATTCCTAATCTACGAAACCCTAGATCTGTTGATCCGTGGTTTCCTCGTTGTTCTTCTCCCGCCTCAGCGCTCTCTTCTTCACGCCTCTTCTTCGCTTCTCTTCTCCCGTTGCTCGTTGTGGCTTGTGCGTGGTCGTGGTTGGAACTCAAAACCCTAGATCTGGTTGAGCCATGATTTTTTTGCAGATTTATATATCGAATCGTCTTCTCCCTCTAAGGGCCTATTTGTTTCGCAAAAAAAGACCGAAAGTGGGGGAAAGTGGGGGAAAAGAAAGTGAATTTTGATGTTTTCCTCCACTTTCAGAGGTTTGGTTCGTCAAAGCTATAACCGAAAGTGGGGGAGAAAATGAGGTGTCACCATATTATTGGTTGATGTGAGTAATTTTTGATGTTTTCCTTCACTTTCCTTGTTTAGGTTCTTTTCTTGTGTTTGGTTCATTCTTAAAAGTGGGGGAAAATAGATGAGATGAGATGAGTTGTCATTATATTATTGGATGATGTGACACATACTTAGGAAAATCATTTTACAAATTTTTTTTGGAGGAAAGTGATGGAAGTAAATTTTAATGAGATGTGATGAGTTGTCACCGTATTATTGGATGATGTGAGTAATTTTTAAAGATGATAGAAAATGAAGAAAAGTGGGGGAAAGTGAGTTAGATGAGTTGATTGATGTGACTCATTTCTTGTGTTTTGTTTATTTTTAAAAGTATGAAATGTGATGTGGTGGGATGAGTTGTCACAATATTATTGGAGGAAAGTGGAGAAAGTGAAGAAAAGTGGGTTTTGGAAAGTGGAGGAAAGTGAAAAAGTAAAGGAAAATGTGTTTTGGATTCTGGGGGAAACGAAACAAACAGCCCCTAATCTGATCCCGCCTCTTGTTGAGCCGTGATTTCTCTGACTTGTTTTCCAGCTTCTTGTTGGTGGGTTTCTTGGCTTTGGTTGTTGGTGATCCCTTCTTGAACTTGTTCTGGTTCGGGTGGGTTTGTTGGCTACGGTGTTGATCCCGGCTTTGGTGGGTGTGTTGCTTGGATGCCGACATTTTTTTCCCCTCTGCAGCTCAAGGTATACGATTTCCCCCTCTTTTTTGTTCATGATAATTCATTATTTGGGAATTTTAACAAAGAATAAGGTTATGTTTACTAAATTTCAGTTAGTTGTGTGAAATAGAATGCATGATATTTGTGTGAATGTGTTGTTCTTGATAATTGTGTTTATTACAAAAGAATGTGAATGCATGAAAAAGAATAGGGTTATGTTTTATTACAAAAGAATGTGAATGCATGAAAAAGAATAGGGTTATGTTTACCAAAGAATAGGGTTAAATTCGTTACATAAAAGGAACCGCGTAGTAGAATGTGTAGTTATTGATAATTGTGTGAAATCGAATGCAACACTAGTTAAAATAAAATTCAGTATAATTAGATTTCTTGCCTTACAAGAAATAAATATTTGTATCAATTATCTAATTAATTTTAAACTGAAATAAGTAGACAAGATAAGTTGTAAATGTATACTAATTTTAAAACGGATGTAGATGGGTATGGAAGTGAAGAAGAATTGAAGAGGATGTGTGCTAATACATCTATTTCCACCGTAGTCACTTTGGTAACATGTATTTTGAGAATGCGTGCTAAGCGCAAGACAATTTTAACTTGTACGAAGCAAGAAAAGATCAGAAAAATATATTGTAGAGAGGCTCACTTCAGACGTGTATTGGAAGGCTATAGTGATAGCTGCCGATCTTATATTAGAATGAGACCGAGGGACTTTTTTAAACTTGTTGAAGTAATGAAAGCAAACGATTTATTAAAGGATACAAGACACGTTCAAGTTGAAGAACAACTTGCTATGTTCCTAAGTATTGTGGGTCATAAAACTAAAAATAGAATAATAAGAACTGAGTTCATAAGATCAGGGGAAACAGTTAGCAGGTATTTCAATAAAGTCCTGCAAGCAATGAATGGGTTACGTGATCAGTACATGAAGCAAGCCCCAAAAGAAGTTCCCGTGGAGATTGCAAACAACTCAAATTATTTTCCTTACTTTAAGGTAAATTAAATACATACATCTTAACAAATTATCAAATAAATAACTTTTTATTGAACTATGTATAATTTATAATTTTTTATAAGACTGTATTAGTTTGATAGATGGCACACACATCGACGCGGTGTTACCTAGTGACCTAGTTGCACGGTTTAGAGGGCGAAAATGGGTGACCCAAAATATCTTAGCAGCCTGCACCACCAATAAACTATTTACTTATGTCTTGGCTGGCTGGGGGGGGGGAGCAAATGATTATATGATATTACAAGACGCTCTGTCGAGACCACAGCCTTACGGGCTTCGAGTTTATGATGGTATTCATTCTCACTTATGCACATTTTGAATAATATATAAAATACTTGGCAATAATTGAGATTTTAAAATACTGTTCAATTAATGTAGGTAAATATTACCTATGTGACGTTGGATACACCACAATGCCATGCTTCATATCCCCATATCGCGGTGTATGATATCATTTAAAAGAGCACACCGGTAGGACACCAAAGAATAGCAAAGAGTTGTTCAATTTAAGACATTCATCTTTAAGATCAAAAATTAAATGCACATTTGGTATATTAAAGAATCGGTTTAAAATTCTAACGGCGAAGTCAAATTATCCATTTCCCACTCAAGTGGATATTGTACTAGCATGTACTGTGTTGCACAATTTTATTACCTTGGAGGATCTGGATGATGATATTTTAAATAAAAATGTTAAAATTGATGAAGATACTGGGGAAGAGACAAATGAAGACGATTCAAGTGTGGTGGATTATACTCAAAGTAGGACACAAAGAGAGGATCGAGATGCAATAAATGAATGGAAAGAGATGCGAGATCAAATTGCTTGGGCGATGTGGGTGGATTATTGTGCAAAGTATAATGGTGGTAACACAATGAAGAGCAGTTTAACTTAGTGTGTTATTTGTTCTATGGCTATGTAATAACTTGGTAAATTTTAAGATACTGTTTGCATCGATATTGTTTAATGTTTCTTTGGGTGACCCAAAACATTACTACTTTTATCGGTTCCTCTTTTTTTATGTTGTTTGAGAAATATCGTCGTTTCATACATTCCTTGATAAATGCATGCATATCCCATATTTTTTTTATATTTCTTTAATATTAATATGGCTATGCTTACAATATATATTAGGTATGGCTAACAATCCGGCAGATAAGTAAAGCGTGCCTTCTCATTCGAATGCAATGCCAAATCCTACATCAGGGATTAACATGAACTTCATGCCTGTTCGACCACAACCATTCACTTCACCACCTCATACATTCTCACCATTCCCACCATACAATGGTAATTATGGTGGGATGACACAGCCGTTAATGTCATACATGAGCCTGTTAAGCAGTCCACAATGTTTGCTATTTCCCACAGCCAGTTCTTAAAGTAGTGGACCTAAACAATTTTCACCAAACACTGGTGATTCAGTTGGAAAGGATATTCATGACGTTGATGGTGCGGAGCACACTTCGCCAATGAAAAGAGGGAAAAAAATTAGCTCATAAGAAAAAAGTTCCGGGTGCCAGGTTGAACTCAAGAGGCGTGTCTAATAAGTTTTGGCTTCCAGAGCACGATGATGTGCTTATTCCTTATCTTGCAGATTTAGCATTGGATGGCCTGGTGCCAGACAAGAACTTCAAGGCTGAAGCTTATAAAATGGTTGCCATGAAAATCAACATGCAATTTAGGACTGATTTCACTCACCTACATGTCATTAACCACTTGAAATGCTTGAGGAACAAATTCAACGACATGAAGGCTTGTCTTGATATAAGTGGTGTTGGGTAGGATGAACAAGTAAAATGATTACATTGGATGATGAAACCTTAAAATCTTGGGCTCAGGTATAACAAATTCAGCATCTATATTGTCAACGAAATTTAATACATTTGATTCGCCACTTATAAGTATTTGTTATTGCAGGACAAATCCAATTCTAAGTACAAAGCGTACATAAACAAACCCCTTCCTCACTTCAAAAATTTATAAGTTATCATGGGTGATGATCAAGCCAATGGTGAATTTGTTAGGCCCGTGTACTCTAACATGGGTGATGATCAAGCCAAG